AAAATTTGCCATTCACGTTTTTACTGTACATACGTCATCATATCGTATATCACAAGTCTAACTAAACTACTAATTACTATGTTATTATGACTTATTTTTCTACTATATTTTTTATTATTATTGTAATTGCAACGGTATTCTTAAAAATTTAAACGTGCGATTGAATAATGAATTCATCCGCGCTACTGGATTCAACAAAAGAACAAATTCCTGGGCATATGTTCCTTATACATGTTGAAATTAAATAAATAAATAAAGCGCACGCTCATCAAAGCCCCGCACTAGGGAAACCGTGTGTCGCGGGTGCCATGGAAACACATAGACAACCACAAATTACCCCAAATTCACGAGATAAATAAATGTAAGCCATACAAATATTTCCCCCGGCCCGGGAATGAAACCTGGGACCTCTGCGTGGCAGCATGGTAACCGTTCGGCCACAAAGGTAAAGAAATGATTAACATTGGATTAAATAAATTCAATTCTTCTTCTTCTTCTTCTTCTTCTTCTTCTTCTTCTTCTTCGACTTCTTCGACTTCTTCGACTTCTTCTTCTTCTTCTTCTAAGACTTCTTCTTCTAAGACTTCTTCTTCTTCTTCTAAGACTTCTTCTTCTAAGACTTCTTCGGGACTATTTAAAGAAGCTCAAAACTATGTCTATGTTTCAATAAAGACGTTCACACGACATATTTTCGAGAGATACGTATAATTAAAACCGAAACATTCCTTTCTGTTTTCACTGTATTAATACTGGGAAAAATTCTTTACAAGAATGGAAATTGAAATTAGTTTTTTTTGTTCTATTATTCTAGGCGCTTTCTTAGTCACTGCCTCCGTTGAGCGCGTAATATACTTCACAATTTTGGATGTATTATCTGCCGACTTGATTGCACGACTGATCTAGTGTTTATAGGCTTCAATATATTTTTTATTATAAACAAAAGGTTTTCACAAAAAAAGGGGTTTAGCATAATACGGAACGGTACAATTTTCGCTTGCAAACGAAACAGTTTTGGGACTGGAAAAACTTGAACCAAACACCACTTGAAGCAATTATCTTCACGAAAATAACACAATTTCAATTGTGTTAGCATAAAATATATACGTTCATAAAAATGTCCTTTGCCTTGCCGTCTGCCGGTTTGCGTTAGTCCTTAATATAGACAAATATTTTCGTTCGCGAGCAACAAGCCTTCCCTGTAATTATTCATACCTAATTCATTTATTTATGAAAACACTGATTGTATATTTTCTTCAAATTTAAACGGGACCACTACAGAAGTACACTCTTCTCAACAAAAAAAAATCATCAAAATCAATTCAAAAATTTTCGCGTAATTATCGCGTAACATAGATACGAAAAAAAACATACAGACGAATTGAGAACCTCCTCCTCATTTTGAAATCGGTTAAAAATAAGTATAATTTCACTGTATCCTATAAAAGCTTAGGCATACAAACACATTTAAGGTGTACATTTAAGGTGTATTATACATTTATTCACATTCACTTAAACAACTTGAACTATATGTAATTTTTTTTAATAACCACTCCGGCGTGTGCATGGTGCATATTATGTATTTAATAAGTCAGTAACTTAAACGTGGTGATAGTTTGGTTGTATGTTATTTATTGCTGGACAGCACTAAACAACTGGCACATTCGATATTTAGTAGAACGAAAGAAATTCTACTTTTTTCCTTACAATTATTGTAGAACATTGTTTATTCACGGTTCCTTATTTCTTAACATCATTAATTTCTTTAGCCTGACATGTCGTTGGTCGTAATCATGGTTTATCGATTTTTAGTCTCCTTATACTGGAGGAGGTTCAAGGATGCGTGACTGAGACTGTTTTTACCAAGGCCACCCTGTGTTTTGTTTGTCAAACAACACTAATTTGACTTGTGTTATGTGCAAATAAATAAAGAGTATTTCTATTGTTTTGTATAACAAATACATAAAAATTATTCAACAAATTTAAGCAAGTTATAAAAAAAAGGTGCGACCATAATGCAGTAGTGATAGCATGCTGTGAAGACGCGACTTGACAATACTCTCGCGGCTTTAATTTTTCTCGGTTCGCGATATGTCGCGGTTCTATGTCGCTCTCTGATAACTGACGTGGCTGTGCAGCTGGTACTTGAATTTCTAATCTCAAACGACTCAAAACTAAATAAATTATCTTAATTGGGGAGGATAATGTTTATTCCTAGTGACCTAAATCCTCGCCTGAGAGACCCGTGTCCAGCATAGGCACGTACAAATAATAATAATATTAAATAAATTTATTTATTACAGAAACTTGCAGACAAATTTCACATTGACAGTGTTAAGCTTGCAATATTGCATTTAGGGCAGGACGTCTGTGTCTGAACTAGATAATTTAATTATCTGTATTTCAGACATCAGCGCTCTTCCGTGTTGAAATGGTTCAAAAGGGGTTGATGACGTAAAAAAAATATTAGTTTTTATTTCGTAAACGATCAAGGGCACGTCAACCTTGACACTTAGATTTAAATTCAACTCTATGTCGTTTATATTAAAAACTATACAAAGTGCCAAGTGAGCTCTTGATTGTACGTTATTGTACACTGCGACTGGCATCTCCGGCCCGGATTAGCCCGGAGAACTAGTAGAGGATAAGCTAGATATCCTCTGGTCCCTCCAGTGGCTTAGGTTATTGGGAACTGGAGAGATGTCGTTTTTCGGCGTCGGGAAGTGAGCGTGTTTTACATCTCCGCCACCAATGAGGAGATTTGATAGTGGACTTAGGGACGTATTCCAGAACTCTACTCAATACTGAAGTCAGGACTTGAGTATTGCAATGAGCACTGAAAATCTTACTGAAGTCCTTGCCATTAGGGTCGTATTTCCAGTGCTTGAAATCATACTCAAGTCTGCTCAAATCCTGACTTCAGCATTGAGTAGAATACGACCCTAATTCTGGAATACGACCCTTAGAGTGGACGGCTTAGCGGTGGCAACTGCTAGTTGTGCAATGCGCAACGGGAAGTGAGCGTGTCTCCAGCTCCGGTACCTATCTGGAAAATAGGGAGGGTACTGTACGTGCACCCGGGGCGGCTCACCCGAGGCACTAGCCTCTCGAAGAACCGGATGAAGTCATGTGACAGAGGTCTGTGACAACCCTGTACATTGGCTGATTTGGGGTCAGAACCTGAACTTATAAGGTTCTTGTGCGCGCACAGGTTATAGTGCCCTTCTCGTATACCCTAAGGGTCGGTAGGGAGGGTCACTATAATCGAAACTAATGTAGATACGGGGCTGTAAGTTATTGTGTTATTCAATCTATTTCAACAGTTTTAATATGACTCTACCATACATACATCCCTTTATTATTGACGGTGCAATATATCCTAATTAACCTATCTAATGTTCATTTGACCTGTAGAAATTTACTACGATTCGAATTGAAATTTATGCGAATAAAAATATGACCTATTTTCACATAGCATTTGTTAGTCCGTTGGCTAGGCGAAGCTAAAGTAAACTAAATTGGAGGCCACGCCGCGCCCCGTCTATCGCGTGGCTAATTTATAGACGCCAATCCGCAAAGTGTTTGTTTCAACAAGGTATAATTAAAACACGACGCTTTTTGGGTGTTCGGGTAATGCCACTACGTTTCGAAGGAGATTAGAACGTCGGTCATGATGCTTTGGGACATTTTTTCAAAACTATCTATCTACTATCTATCTTCTTCATATTCATATCTATCTTTTCAAAACTAACTATCTATCTTTGGTAGAACTCTTCTCTCTAGTCGTTCCTTCATGTCTGAGGATCGTGGACAACTTCGTGCCTGCTTCTGAAGCGGATGATCCATCTGTTTCTATCAAGCGCGTTCCTAACGGCTGTGCAAAATTTGGTAGAACATTTGATAGGATATATTCATTACGTTTGAATTTAATTTTTGTATATGTATTGTTTAACAGGTGGTTTACATTATAAAGCAGAATGATAACGCACGATAATAATTATTGCAAGTGTATTGCCCCTTTAGCACCAAAGGACATAACTTACAATGGCGGTGGCGAACTTACGGCACATGGGATTTGTCAACTTTATGTCTTAGGGTGACGGGCGCAGTGGCAGTGCCCCTCATTTTACGACCCCAGCGATTTAATGCTCTGAGTGGCACTGCAACTGTTATGGATAGTGTCGCTTACCACCAAAAAACCTAATCGTGAAAATTCGAACAAACGTTATTTCGGAAAAAAATTCGAGTTTGTGATAGGTTACCTGGATAAGGAGGTCTTGGTTTCGATTCTCGGTAGGATCAATTTGGGAAATTAACTTTTTTTAATTAGTTCCCGTCTGTTCTGGTCTCAGTTACATTAAATGTATTTATCGCTACGGCCGTGAACAGATTCTCCACGTGCCATGTCTACGCAAGCGTTGTTCTTATCAACTCTTGTGAAATTACCTAGCTAGGTAACGTACAAACTAATTACTATACGGTAGCTGCGAGAATTCATCAGACTGCCCGAAAATTCTCCGGAATACACGCCACCTGGTTTATGGCTCTTATGTATCATATAGTTACACAATTGCCATAAGATTCATTATTGTATGGTTATAGAAATTCGCTTCCATTCCGTGGCAATGTAAATTGAGCCTTACAAGCGCAACCACAAATTTAATAATGTTACGTACTAAAAAACCGACCTCAAAAGTCATTCATACCCCTGTTTGCCGCTCTTGGAGGTGGAGTATTTTCTTCAAATTTAAATGTTACCACTACTGAGGTACCCTCTCACCAACAAAAGAAAGAATCATCAAAATCAATTCACAAAAAAGACAGAGTTATCGCGTAACATACATACAAAAAAAAACATACGGTCGGTTTGAGAATCTCCTCCTTTTTTTGAAGTCTCTTAAAAAGTCACTACGTGTTTTTTTAATTTTCAACTGGGAATTTTTACATTTGTTATTCTTCCTGTTTTGGCTTACAATAAACTATTTTGTTTATTTTGTTCACAGTTGCGTCATGAACTCGATCGCGTTATAAGCGAGCGAGACCGACTTCTAGCAGAGAGCTCCGAGCTCGGACAAGACAAAGCTACCAGGGAATCAGAGAGAGTGGCGCTGCGGGCCGAGCTAAGAGAAGCCAGGCAGAGAGAACAGAGATTGTTAGTTGATATTGGAGACTTGGAAGACGAAAATATATCGCTGCAGAAGCAAGTCTCAGCTCTTAGGTCGTCACAAGTAAGTATAGCTTCGTAAGTTATGAGTCATTTGAAATGGCGGGAAACTTAATTAAACAGACAGCAATTGCATTGTGGGTTGGCCTAGCAGTCCATGTCAAAGTATAAATTAAAAAAGAAATAACTTTAACTGCCTCCGTGGCCGGATGGTTGCCATGCTGGTCTGGCACGGAGGGGTCCCAGGTTTGATTCCCGGGAAGTAATATTTCGGTTCGTGGTCTCTATTCGAGAACCTTTCAGCCCCAACGGCCGTCAGTTCTACTAGCTGTGTGCTCTGCCCGGAAGGCGTTAAGTGCGACGGCCCCCTACTAGATGGACGTATGACCTGGTAAGGGCGGCGGGTAACTGATGGATGCACGTTGCGTCCGACCGGCTAGTCTGGCAATCTTTAGGGGAGGCCTATGTTCAGCAGTTGACGTCTTCCGGCTGATATGATGATGATGAGAAATATTAGTATGGCCTACATTTATTTCTCGTGGTTTGGGTGTAACTTGTTGTTGTCTATGTGTGTGTCCATAGCACCCGTGTTACAGGGTCTCTCTAGTGCGGGGCCATGAGTGTGTGCGTTATTATTATTATAATCATATTTATTTATTGCCATCTTTCGGGTAATTTTAGAACTCCTGAAACCTCTCATTAAATTCCTATCTTTGTTTATTTATTTAGATACAATAATAGTTCACAAACCATGTACCATGTGCTTAATACTAATTTAATATTGTAACACTCTTTAGCTTGGAATAGATGACAATTGTGCACGACAATATAATAAAATAGATGTAATTAAATATCCTATTTAAAAATAAAAGTGAACTTTTATGAAATTAAAACAAAAAGCTCTGAACTTTTGATACGTGTATCCAATACGTGCTCCAATAGGTCAATTTCAATAGGTCAATCACATTTATCTTAGCCGGTCAGAAAAACCTTTATGTACATGCACTAAAAGCTAAAAAGTCTGCGCGTTTCGCTTACGTTCAGATCGCCGACGCGAACTGCATAGAGTAATTTTCGCTCTTATTACACAGACATAATGATTTATTTGACCAGCTTAATGCGATTCCGTGTCGATAAGTGTGTTGAATCCCTAAAGAAACTTGCTCTAAAAGATCAATGAGACTATAAAGCGACCTTAAGGTACTTTTACATACGTCGTGATAATATTTGTTTTACTTTGCCAAACGCATGTGCAATATGCCGATGATTCCAGGTCGAATTTGAAGGCTTAAAACATGAAGTCAGACAGCTACGTGAAGAGGCGGAAAATGCGCGCGCCGCAGCCGACGAAACCGCAGCGTTGCGTCGTATTGCCGAAAGACAACTCGCCGAAGCGCTTGAAGCGTTGCAAGCGGAGCGTGAAGCTAAATTCGCGGCGAAGAAAGAACTGGATGCCCACCTTAGCCGAGAGGCCGCTTATAACATCACTAACTTGGCGTATAGTATACGAGGTAAGTCAGTTTTGGAGCGGTTATATACCGCGACTTCTAGCAGCGATGCAAACGCGAATCGCTAATCGTCTACATTTAGTCTTTACTCTTTTCTCCACGAAAAGACTGTCAAAAGTATGAAACTTCATACGCGCGTTCGTGAAACGCGCGATTGCATCGCTGCTTAAAAACGCGCGCGCGTGTGTAACCACTCTTGAGTTTGAAATTTCATACTTTTGACAGTCTTATCGTGAGTGCCATAATGTTGAATTTATATTTATAACTCAGACGTTCTGTAGTCCGTACTACTATTAAATTGATGCATAAAATCGGGGTGAGCCGTATATTCGTTATTTGGCATGTTGGGCAAGTTTACCGGACGTTACTATTCAGCCACTTGGAATTACCTGTCGTCCAATCTGAGCTTCGGAAGACACATTGAATCCATGGCCAAAGTTGCAGCCAGAAAGCTTGGCATTCTTTCTAAGGTGAGGCGTTACTTCAGACCTTCACAATTGCTTCAACTGTATCAAGCACAAGTCGTGTCGTGTATGGAGTATTGCTGCCAGTTATGGAATGGCTCTGCTAAATGCCAACTGGCCACCTTGGATTCAATAGACAAACGTGTCAAGAGGCTTATAGGTGACTCGGAATTAGTAGAGGCGAAGCTGCAGAGCCTTGAACACCGCCGTAAAGTTGCCTGCTTATCGGTATTTTACAGGATATATCACGGAGAGTGTGCGATGGAATTACATGATTTAATTCCGCTTTCCCCTTTCCATCATCGGGGGACTATATGGAGGCTTGGATTTTAAATAATTTTTAGTAACAATTTTAATATTACATGCAAGCCTATACTTTAATCTATTTTCCTGCATAATGCTACCAATAATTAGGCACTTATCGTGTCATACAGCCAGCTTTTGAATCCCGTAGTCATAGATGTGTGCCACCTAATTTCACAATCACCGCAACACGGCCGTTATACCACCATCATCATCACCGTGGCGTTGACCACCTAGATGCTTCTTCAAATGCAGGAATACGCTTTGGGCCCTGGGCGTTGGATCAGAATTATATAAAGTGTGATCAAGTTGTCAGTTTCATCAACTTTTTGCACAAAATCTTCAGTATTGACAGAAGGGTACCATTTCATCGCTCATGTTTTGTCCCGACACTTTACAGACTTGACGTTGAATTGCACGATAAAACGAATCATATTGCGTATTTCACATTTGGCGGGATTCTTAATAGGCGGAGGCATTTTGGATACACATAAACAAAAAAAAAACACGGTCGAAAGTTGCCGTTATTGCGTTTGTGTCTTGCCAGCAAATGTAAGTACGTATACCACAACCGCAGAGACGCAGCGGCCAAATTTGGAAACGATACTTACTTTAAAACCACGCCTGATATTCACAGTGCAGTATTCAACCTATACAGATGCAAAGTTTCGTTAAATTATATCTTAAATTCTACATATTAGTATTTTATGTCTTAAATTCTAAGTACTCCTACTACCTTCGCGTGAAACATGTTGATTTTTATTAATTTTTTTTTATTGAATTTCAAATGTCAAATAGTACCTTCATTATTATTAGGTAAAACATTTAGAGGTTTAGCTACCAAGCTATGAGCTAACAGACTCGATACTTAAATTATTGATTCTAATCCCTATTAACTGGGTGCTGCCTACAGAGTTCTAAACGTGACTTCGTGTACAGTATTACAACAAAGTGAGTTAGTGCTGTTTTGGCCAATAAAAGGAACCTACGGGTTAAGTCTTCTTTGCACATTGTATTAAGTTCTTTTAATGTGTAGTGTAATTTGGTACAATAAAATCTAATAACAATCAACAAACGGTTACGGAAATTATTTGATTATTATTTCGTTACGTGTAACACATACTAACGATTGTACCTTTATTAATTTTATTGGTTACTTTTGTATGTATTTCATTATGTATATTAATTATCATATTTCATATTTTATTCTCGTTCTTTTTTCATAGGGGGGATGAATATTTACTTACGTGTGTCGCTAGATATGTTTACCGAAAATAAATATATATTACATACACAAATATTATCACGCCTGTCTCCCACTGGAATAGGCAGGGACGATGTACCGTCACACAATAGAATATATACAATACAATGGTTCATGGTACTGCTGATGTAAGTAGAGCTCAATAGTCGTTGAGTACGACATGGCCTTATTCAAAGTGACGGCCGGCGCGGAAGCGTGTAAGGCAAATGTACGTAAACGCTCCTTGTGTTTATAGTGGCCACCCGTGCCGGCACCTGCCTCGAGGCGGGCGCGGGCGCTTATATTGGCTCGGTCTGCCGGTACCTTTCACAGTGCTTGGTCTAGCGTCTAGCGTCTGTTTGCGGTTTCGACGTGTGGATCTGCCCGCTCGTAGCCGCTTCAGCGCTGTGAAAGGGAAGACGCCAAGACCAGCAAACCCGCACCCACTGCCGCGCCCGCACCTGCACTCTGAATGAGCATTCCTTACGGCCTATGAGGCGTACGGTCCGTCCATCGCCACGCCTGTTTATACGGACTCGTTCGCGCCACAGGTGCCGAGGTTTCAGCTGTCATGCTTTCGCGCCGCGCCTTTGATTTTACCGGCAATTAACGAATCTGACTGGCCCAGGAGAGTCCGAGTCTGCACTCATCCCACGGCGCGTAATCCAAATCACGGGTCATGGAAAGCCGCTTTTACATGTTTAGTTAATTGTACTGTTGATGTAAATTGTACTCAATCCTGATTGAGCACGACTTACATATTCAGTTAATAGTACAGTTGATAATTTATACTCGAACCTTATTGAGTGTTTACATGTTTTATTATTAGTACTGTTAATATAAGTTGTACTAAATAAAATATATTGATTGGGGCTATGAATTAGAAAAACGACTCTTTCTAGTATAACCGCCGTGTGACGTATCTGGTCCGTCCCAAAAGTATCGAACATTTTTCAGGAAAAATACTTTTATTGAACTTATCGGTACCATACATTAGTACTCTTCAAAATAACACCCTTCAGCATCGATGCACTTTTGTAGGCGAGTTTTCCATGCCCGGAAGGCCCCCTGGAAGTCGTCAACGGGTAGGTCCTTCAGCGCCCTCGTCGTAGCTTCTTGGATGTCCTTAATTGTGCCCCAATGCTTGCCTTTGAGCTTCGACTTGATGCTGGGAAACAAGAAGAAGTCTGCCGGGGCGACGTCAGGACTGTAGGGAGGCTGCGGGACCAGCGGGCTTCGTCGGTCACCTCTTCCCTTCCGTCACGGAACATCTTGTGCCACTTCCTGACCTAGGATTCGGACAAGGCTTTGTCCTTGAAGGCCTGTTAAATATGGCCTATATATATTTATTGTATTATTGCACATTTCTTCAACTTGCGTGTACATAAATAAACGAGATATAAATTATGCCCTTCATGCATTTAAAACTCACATTCTTTCACAACTTGCTTGTTTATCTAGGTATGCCAGAAGACGGCACAGAGGACGAAGGAGAGCCCGGCGGATCTACATCGGCAGAGTTGGCGACGGCCATGGGCGACCATCACGCCGACCTCTTCTCGGAGGTGCACCTACATGAGATCTCGCGTCTGGAGAAGCAGCTTGAACAGGCACATAATGAGAATGTGAGTGTTTCAGCATACGTTAATTGAAAAGAAAGTGAAACTAAATTGTAACCAGTGGTTGAAAAGCTACAAGAGTTCGGTTTATGATGTCGAGTAACAGGATGAATAAGTCAACGCCTGGTGGTAAGCGACACTCCTACCCATAACAGTTACAGTGCCACTCAAAGCTTAATTAAAGATTTAGGGTAAATATGGTAATTTTAATTCAAATATATGTATGTATGTATGATGAAATATTCATCTCACCTGATGGAAAGTGACGATGAGGCCGACGTTGGGGCATGCACACCTAAATAATGCCTATTATTAATATTCTAACTGCCTCCGTGGCAGAACGGCTACCATGCTGGACTGCCACGCAGAGATCTTGGGTTTGATACCCGGGCCGGGAGAAATTTTTGTATGGCAGCATTTATTTCTCTTGTGGGTTTGGATGTAATTTGTGGTTGTCTATGTGTGTGTCCATAGCACTCGCGAAACAGGGTTTCCCTAATGCGGGGCTATGAGTGTGTGCATTATTATTATTCGCTCTCGCCTTGAAAAGGTCTAAGTTATAGCGTTCAGCCCCCGTAGCATGGCTACGCATGACAGTCGCGACGCGCGCGATAAAATTGAAATAAGCGCGCGCTATTGGCTATCTAAATTAGATATGATTGAGACGGAAAGAGGATAAATACCTCTTCTATTGATATACGATATGATATGATGATACGCTTAGTTGGTCTTAGCGTCCGGCACGGTTTGCTGGGAGACGTTGGTTCAAATCCAACTGGATTAAAGTGAATTTGTTGTAAGTGTTAGATCTTTGTTTAATAATTATAGAAACTATTGGAGAAGAATTTCACAAGAAATAATTGAATGTTATAATGGACAAATATCGTGACATTCAATAACTTAATTGATGTACAATTGTTTTTTGCAGATCCAGCTAACTGCATCGATGCGCACCGCACAACAGACGGCCGAGTCAGAGAGCGCAGCTGCGGCTACCCTGCGCGCCGGCCTCACTCGAGCAGCTTCCAAGATCACAGCGTTGCACTCGCTACACGGAGACTGTGCGCCCTTGGTTAGTATTCAAGAGCACATATTATGTATGAATTTAAAACATGAACAGTTCTGGTTGGTTTATAACCACGTCTGAATATCATAAGAGAAGTAAAACTAAAGTTAAACATACAGCATTGAAGCAAGTGTGTTTTTGAGAGAGACTTTTAAGGAAATTATCATGTTTACACGAGGGTCACAATACATTTATGAAAATTCAATTTACGTTGTACTCCGTTCATACTCATATTATGTTCTACGTTTAGACATAACTTTTTAAGTTTTATTTAGCTTAATTATTGCTTTACGAATGGATAGAAAGAATGTAATTTTCTTACCTTTGAAATAAAGATTATTTGAGTTTGCATAAACCATGATACGCGTTTCAGGACGACGAGAAAGTGGAAGGTGGGGTGTCGGCTCGCGCGGCGAAGTGGCTAACGTGGTGGCGAGTGTCCGGTGGAGAGCTGTCGGGGGTTGCGGCGCTGCTGCACGAGCTGCAGAATGGCGCGGTACCGGCCGATACCGCGGCGGGCGTGCAGCGACATGCGCTGGCGCAGCTTAGCGACAGGGTGGCCGAGGCCGAAGTGCGCGCGCAGGCGCTACAAGCCGACGCCGACTTGTTGCGGCAACTGGCTGGAGGTAAGTTTTAGCTATTCTCAAGTGGACACACAATAATTACTAGCTATAAAGGCGACTCGAACTCAAAATATGCTTCCTGAAGAGATTTCAATCCCAGTACTACTGGTGCGGGTTTTCTGGGATGTGTTCCCAGTGTTAATTTCGTCATCTAGAATTCATTGTAGGTTGTCAAAAAGGAGCTCTATATCAGAAAATGCGAAAGGAAAAGAAACGATGTAAAAATATGAACAGCTAACGGAAATACTTCATTTACAGGTGCGGGCCGCGCCCTGGCGACGGCGGCGCCGGCGCTGACGTCGGCCGCGGAGACTCTCGCGCAAATCTACCACCACGTGTGCGCCGTGAACGGCACGCAGCCGGAGCGGCTGCTGCTGGAGCACGCCGGCCAGCCCCACGGTAAGCGATGGCCCGAGCGGCAGGTGCCACTGGGTGACGTCATCTCTGACCAACCAACGTTCAGTACCAGGGTCGGAGGAACGCGTTGTGGAGGACGAGGCGCTGGCGCTGGCGGCGGGCGAGCTGGAGGGGCTGCGGGCGGCTGGCGGCGTGGCGCGCTCGGCAGACACGCTCTTGGACCAGCTCACGCACCTGCGCGCCGCGCTGGACACGGCACTCGACTCGCGCAACAGGCATCAACCAGGTCAGTCCTTTCGAACACCGCTCTGTCGACCATCACCTAGTTTCTTTCTTGTCGGCGATAACAAGAGTCTAGCACCACTATTTCAAGGTCAAAAGCTAACTAGTGAATTTTCGCTTTTAAAACCAAGATCAATAATTATATACAAGGTTATGTTTTAAATACTAACAACCTAGCAGGGCTACTTATACTAACATCATACACCCAACCAACAACTTTTGTTCTATGACTTTTTATTATCCATAAATTTACAAAAAATAATTTTGTAGTATCTGACAGTTTTTAGATCTCTATTCAAGTCCGAACGTGCAAGCCTTCTCCTCGACGACCCCCCATTCCAGCTTTTGCGTTTTGCATCAGAGTATTATTTACGCTAGCACTTTCTTTTTTTACCGCACACCGTTGAGAGCGATCTTTTTAAATATTTTCATTTTTGTACGCAAATAAAATCTGATGTATTATTCAAGTAATGGAACAAAAATTATGGTTTATGATGTAAGTAGGTAATATAATCCTGCAAGGTTGTTAGTATTTTACAATAATCCTGTTTACTGTTCTAATTTTTATTTCCTATACTAAAATTTGACCCTGCCTTATTTTCACCCGCTTCCCGTTACCAGGTTCTACCCAAGTCGAAAACTCTTTCAAGCTAAAGGGTTTATACTTGAACACGCTTAAAAAGGCGAAAGATCAAAACAACGCCAAAACAAAAATGATCGATACCAAACGAAAACTCAACACCTTAATCGCCAGGATAAAATCTCTCAACTTAGAACAATTTAACTTACAAGATAACAGGCAATGTGCTGGAAAAACAGTCAAAGAGATCACAGATTACTTTGAAAATATGTCAAAATATAACAAGAAACTAGTCAACTATGATTTGAAGAAAAAGAACCCTATTACCGTTATTCCAAAACCTAATTTACCTTATCCTAAAAAGAAGCGTTTGAACACACCGAATCTTCAAACTGTATGGCGAAACTTGTTAATGCAAAGAAATTTTTATTACAAGTGTAGTAAACAAAGTAATGCTTTGAAGAATGGGAATGTACTTCATACAGTACGGGAGTCGCTACGAAGCAGCTTTGTGAATTGTTTTATGATGTTGCAGTACATATTGTGATAACAATGGTGGTACTGCTTATGTAAGGATTTTCAGATTTATAAATATCTGTAGTTGGTCATTTATTGGCTAATATATTCAGTCTTTTTTAAGACGGACTAAAATGACGAAAGTGTTGCTCGCTTACAACCAGCTAGTGACTGCAGTCGATAAATGTTCTATCGACTATCAACTGAATGTTGGTTACGCTTATGTAATAAACAGCTGCTTTTTTTTTCATTTGAATCATGATTAGCCCATTATTTGCCCAACTGATGAGCACACGTTAATTTAAATTGTCAATCTTAGTAAGTTCATACTTACATACACTCCATTTAGAACGATATGTATTAAAAATACAAACAGGAGACAATTTTTAATTTATCTCATTTTATTTCAATGTAAATAATCAAATCTGCATGTTCTTGTTAAAATGAATAAAAATAGATTTCGAGACTAGTGGGCCAAAAGTCAAAATAAGAACAAATGGGGTAATAACGCAATTAGTAATCATTAGAACGACGTAACATTCACAATTTCAAACATTTTTGGCAAAATTTTACCTTTTCGCATAATCTGTCAATAAAACTGTCGACCGACAACATCTACGTGACTATTTAAAATTTTACAATAGCTGGCAACACTGCAACTGTCATTTTACTCCGTCTTCAAAAAATTAGTAGTTAGCCAAGAACGAAAAAATGTTGGATAAAATTACGAGTGTAGTCTATTATTATATTTATTGTTATGTTGTGACGATGCGACCTATTTCATCGTCATCCCACCTTTTTACCTATTTTTTTTTCCCTAAAAAAACAGGTAAAGTAAAGGCGTAAAGGCTGTATGAAAACAGTGATATAAAACAGGTACAATCGTTTAAAAACACTCCCTACTTAAATTAAATCCAGGTTATGGTAAAAAGGAACTTACCACAAAAGGGCCTGATTTTCTAGAAATACTATGCTTTATAAGCAATTCGGTTACATGATTTTCAATGGTACCTATAAGTAACTGGGTAGAATTTTATATGAAGGCGAGCACGTATGCTCGCTTCGGAAATGTAGTAGTGAGTGGCGACGGAAAGAAGAATAGTACGTGACGAAGAAGAAACAGGAATTTAAGAACGATTCAAAATTTCAAAGTAGGTGCCCAGGAACCAGAGAAATAGGTATTGAAAAGGTGGGATGACGATGAAAGAAGTCGCATCGTCGCAAGAGATCTTCTTTATGCTATCTTACAGTATTTCATCAATTCTTTGCTTACACGAAGACGTGCTTGAATATAGTCTGGTGACTGCTACATTAAGTATAGTGTAATAAAAAGTGATATAAGTAAATTTAAAAATATAGGTAGTAATTATTTCTATTTTGTATTAATAAAAATTCTGTTATATGCCTAGTAAAATGATATAAAACATTTTTATTTCCACTTTATTATTACACTTTATTATATATATTACATTTGCTCTACTTATACATTTATTTACTTCCACAGTAATGGAGACGGAGGAACGTGGCGCGGAACTAGCAGAGCTTCAAGAACAAGTCATAAAACTAAAATCTCTGTTATCAACGAAGCGCGAACAAATAGCTACATTGCGTACTGTGCTCAAGTCAAACAAGAACACGGCGGAGGTCGCGCTGGCCAACTTGAAGTCCAAGTACGAAACGGAGAAGACTATCGTCACCGAGACCATGCTCAAGCTGAGGAACGAGCTGCGGCTGCTTAAGGAGGATGCTGCCACCTTCTCAAGTCAGTATCACTTTTACGCCATGTCATAATATATTGCTTCTCTTTATAGTTTGTGGTTTAAGGGCGCGTTCCCATTACGTCGTAACTGCCTGCGTGGCCGAATAGTTACCGTGCTGGTCTGCCACCCAGAGGTCCCGGGTTCGATTCCCGGGCCGGGAGATATATGTATTGCCTACATTTATTTATCTCGCGATTTTGGTTGTAATTTGTGGTTGTCTATGTATGTGTCCATGGCACCCGTGACACAGGGTTTCCCTAGTGCGGTACTATTAAGAAAAAAAAAAATATTTATCGTTGGGCGACTGTCGTGTCTAGCCTGTTCCCATATCACGACTATCTGTTGTGGACGTTTTATTTTATCGTTGAAAGACTGTCGCGTCTAGCTGTTCCCACTAGATCGTGACGACAATTTATCGGTTCACGGTAGCCGCCTTGTCATTGTTTTAACTATCGTCAGACGACGGACAGTCGTCCACATTCGACGTCATGACTATTCACGAACAATCTGTCGTTGTAACGTCAAAAAAGTCGTATATAAATATAATAGTGAATAGACAATTTAGTGATGCCCAGTTGTAGTGACAACTACATATCAATTCACTAATTGAATAAATTGAATGAATATCCGCAAAAAATCTCCAAATTATGTACCTGTTGTAAGAAAATCACCATCTTTCTGCCATTGAGTTACAATTATATGGACGTCGGGTCCGCGCTAAAAAGTGTCCGCACTTGTAAGGCGCTAAAATCGTATACAGAGCGCGACACTCCGCTTTAGTCTTCATTTGTTCTACGGACAGCGCGATACTGCGATGACATAACAATTTAAATTTCGAATAGGTTGACTTGGGACATTTTTTTCGTGGTTTTTGTATTAGACCCGTCGTCCATTTATTTGTAAGTCAATGCTTTCTGCAGATAAAACCATTTGTTGAGTTTATAGCTTTTTTGTCATTGAGTTTCACCTGCAGACAGATAGTGATTTTCTTACCATAGCTATTTAAAGACTTTTTATAGAAATGTCACTTATGTCACCTTTAAACAGACGAAATTATGTATAATGAAAAGCTGGATGTCAGATTGCAATCTTTCTTTTTATCCCGAGTTGCTAATTACAAAAAAATATTCTACTAAAAATAACTGATACGGTGATACCACATTGCAAATAACAGTTCTTATTAAAAGCTGTTTGTTTAATTGAATTATTTGGAATAAAAGTTCTTTTTGCGATTTCGCTTGGGTTACTAATAAAAAATAGTGTGATTCGTACTGTGATGATTTTTTATACATAGTATTAGTACATGGTGTACTTTTACTATTAGTGGTTTTTTTTACATGGCCTATAAAAGTAAATTAAAAAATTCCGAATTCTATATTCTTAATTTTATATCCTCCTTCAAATCCTTACACTTAGATACTTGTTCGATTATGATTGAAATATTTTACTGCATAATGAATTGAACAAAGACTATAGATACGAATTCTTAGGTGACATTTCTTTTGCCAGTAAACTACCTACAATTTGTTAGGAGCAAAAGTAATTTGATGACAAATATAATCTATACTGATACATGTGGACAATGTATTTCTGCGCAGGCTTGCGCGCAATGTTCGCGGCACGGTGTGAGGAGTACGTGACGCAAGTGGACGAGCTGACGGCGGCGCTGTCTGGCGCCGAGGAGGAGAAGAAGACGCTCAACCAGCTGCTGCGGTTGGCAGTGCAGCAGAAGCTTGCGCTCACGCAGCGGCTCGAAGAACTTGAGGTATTTATGTCACTCTAGGGCAACGTCTATTTTTGTTGTTGTACGAATGATGAAGAACTACTATCATAGTATAATTAGACAAGTAGTTTAACTTCATACAAATGTAGCAGCGGCTTGTATGTGTGCACGCAGCGAGCGTGCATGCGTGTACGTGCGTGTGTGAACGGACACATCGACTCCTCCTACATAAAGTATCGTATGTCGAAATTGCCAAGTTTACAGGGGAGCGTTTTGAAGTTGTGAATTCATTCGTTACTCATAGAGTGATCATCTAATAGATCATCATAAATCATCTAACCGATATCTAGAATTTTGTAATACTCTGTGAGTAACGAGCTTTGCCGAATAAAACTGAGAAATGCTAAAGTTACGTGTTATGCCCATTTCAGTGAAATCAGAACTTTAAAAAGCTCGCCTGTAAACTTGGCAATTTCCACTACGATACTTTACGTAGGAGGTGTCGACATTCGCAAAAATCTCGCGGCGCACACATAGCATGGGTCTCACAACCCATTCATTACAGAATTGAAGCGTTCGCTCGGGTGTTTAAAATATTTTTCTGTGTCAAATTTACAACGATTTTATTTATAGGTGTAGCGTTACGTATATACAAACTCGCATTTTTATTTTTATTTCATGATTATATTTCCATAAACGAAATAATAATCCGCATTGCTGGTATAAAAAATATTAACATGTAAATACTGCGTATAACACATATATACATATAACATAAGGTTATTTCAATATAGCACGAGAATACTGTGACGAATACCTTAATGTTTTACAGACTGTAGGTACAATTAAAATAAAAATGTGACAACCTTACGCTCCGAGAGGCGCATTACACTACTTGTCTTATTTATTACTTTATGCTATTAGTGTCCAATCACAATTCAAATACACTTCGAACTTCGTAATTTTATTCGGGGTGGTGATAATTGTCGTCGATTGTGAAACACGCGGTAAATTGACTGCGAATGTTACTTATTTTATTTTTATTTATTTATTCAGGTAACAAACAGTCATATACGAACAATTATCTAAGAACACTGCATAAAAATAGATCTATAGATATAATATAATACATTAACACATATAACATAAATATGTGACGGATACAAAATATTTACTTATATACTACCAAAATTACATGACAGACCCAAGCATATTAATATAATAAAAATATGCATTAGAACCACTAAAATGTCGGTGCTGCTACTTTTTTCTTAAATGTATTTAAGGAATTTACAAATATATCATAAAGACTTATAATAAAAGCTACACGATCGCCTGAGAATAGTAGTTTATGTGACTGTTATATAATGAAAGGCACATACGAGCGTGGGTTTCATGAAAACATCACACGAGTGTTTTAATGTCTAATTATGTACAGTTACATACACTGCTTTATCTATACACATATTATAAGCTCTCTATGGTGTGTTCAGGAATCGCATGTTACGACTGGCGAAGTGGCGGCAAATAAAAACTTTCCTCAAGCATGTCACACAATCGTAGTTGTTTTTAATTCGTAGACAAACTAGATTCGGCCCCAACTATCATATCGTTCGATATCAAGTAGCGTGTGAAATTGTTTCAAAGTCAAAATTGTTTGCTATTGACATTTAATTTTGAATAAAACTTCATCTCCACTGATAATAAGAATTGAGGTCGAATCCAATTGTTTTATTTTTCAGACATGTTCGAAATTTGAATATGACATTCAAATAAAATAGAATTTTATGTTATTATGAAGCAATAATAACATTTTCACAGATAAGAAATTTGTTCTAATAAAACAGTTTACCTTTATGCTGGTTGTAATTTGCGGTTTTTGAACACATCATAGAGGGTTTATGATATGTGCGTAGATAATAGTAAAACGCTTCATTTCGCCCGAGACGAGTATATCCATCCGAGTCGCAGGCGAGGGTGGATACTTAAGTCGAGGGTAAAATGAGTTTTATGAACGAGTTATACACTGCTTTTCACTTCGATTGCGAGGAAATTAAACAGCAATCACGTGACTCAGGTCGGACTACATAATGCTCAGTTATATTTTACAAGCTTTTATTTTTTATGCATTTCTTTTTTATAACTTATTAGAATTACTATTGCCTACTTATACTAATTTTGTAATATAACACGGATTAAAAAAACAAAAGTAAAACTTTATAAAGTTCTAGTGTGCGTGGCTGTTGTCGCAGGCGTCGTTGCCTCGTTCTTAAATGACAATTTTATTTTATGCACTAGAGCATAAAATCCTATTTTATGCAGCCTACACCCAGCACAAACACGAACTTTAAGAGCATGAGAAGTGAAAAGGTATTTTTGCGTTACGCAGGTGGACCGCGAGATGCGCACGCGGCGCGTGCCCAAGGCGGCGGGCGCGCCGCGCACGCGGCCGCGCGACTTCTAGCGGCTGGTGGCGGCGCTCAAGGCCGCGGCCGCGGCGCTGCGCGCGCTGCTGGCGCACGAGCCCCCGCCGCCCGCGCCCCGCGCGCCCCGCGCCATCCCGCTGTAGCGAACATTGTCCGATTGTGGCTCCTAGAACTCAATTGTTGTTTGTACGTTTTGTAAAAGTAATGTAAGAATCGAACCGGTAGCGCCGGCGGACCCGGCCCGCGGGCGGGCGCGCGAACCCGCCGTGCGCGTCGCCGCGCCCGAACCGTCAAACTGTGCAATGGCGCAGGGCGGCGGCGCGCGCCCGCCTCGCGCATCCTGCGCTGGACGAACAAAGTTAAACTTTACGCCGAGGGTGCCTCCCTTAAGTTAAACGGTTGGTGTTATATTTAAAGTTGACTGATTTTATGGCGGAGCGCCGTCACACGGGCGCTTATCTTCGTAACGTTAGCTACCGCGTCGACTGTTAACTGTCTTCTTTCGATCCCGATCGTTGCGACGTCTATTTTGAATCACCCCATGCACTTTACACACGAAATATTTTGATAAAATCCTCTAATTATGAATCTATTGCGCGTCATGGAATCGATTTACGAGTATTTTTGTATTAGGACCACTATATTTTGTAACGCGAATGAATTTAGCGCCGCTGCCGATCGGCGGCGACGTATCCCATGTGAGAGGCAGATTTTACAATATTGTGTATTTCTGTGGTGAAACAGGAATTATGATAAAACCGTGTGACATTATTTTTTATGATATACATGTTTGACGGAATCTTAACGATTAGTGTAATGTTAAAAAACAAACCTCTACTCAATACGAATGTTTAGTACGTCCAGAAAATTGAAAATTTCTAAAAATTAATCATCGACGTCCATCCATTGTGTGCGCAGAGACTATGTAATCTGTTCTAGTTGATATGTTTGTTGTGTTGTGGCCCTCTGGCCCACTTTCGTCCATCTTGTTCTAGTGTTTGTAGTATTTCCTTATTTTTGTTGTTGTGACTTAGACACTGGCGTAGTTCGGAGCCGGTCTTGCGATCCGCGACCATCGAGCTACCTCGCTGTCAATTCTACATGAAGCTACATATTCACTTAAGGACGAATGTCGCGGCACACGCGTCTCATGTTTCACCAAAAAATAGAGATGCAGTTTTTCAAGCCAATGTCAAAGTTAATTCGGCAACCTGTCCTTTGACTTTTGTCTCGCAGCTTATAAGTGATGTAAGTACTTATGAAGAAGTGAGTGGTGAATGTCCAAGATTGAATAGAATTGACGGCCAGTGTAGTCACAGTCTGCCGTCCTGTGGCCTCGTCCACACGCGTCCATTTCTTGTCCAACAGCTGGTCGGTCTCAATACATTTTAAATTCGTCCTCTCCTTTGTAATCAAACGACCAAATTTATAATAAATGCTAAAACAGGTATTTCACATTACGTATCACGTCGCCTTTTTGACTTTGTTGTTATGGTATAATTTCGTGATATTTTTAACAAGAGTCGGGTTGTAAATGAATTTTTAATATTTTTTTTTTGCAAAATTACAAAAACAAAGTTTACAAATTAAATAGTAAACAACATTGTACGGGATGTCAATAATAAAAGCCTAATTAAATGTCAAAGACGACGTTAGACGTTTTGCGTGAAATACGTTAATAACTCAACTTCCAGGTTGCTCAAAACATGCTCAGAGTCGACCAGCTCTCTAATAATAAGACAAAATTTACAAAATATTATTGAGTGTTACTGTTTATTTACGTTATCGGATGTGATAAGGCAGCTTCCACGCTAGGTCAGGCGCTCGATGACGTAGTCGTTTCTCTCCTAGTGTCTGTATTAGGCTAGTTCAACCGTTCCATGTAGTGGGCACTCGCCCTTCGTAGGTATTTTTACTGGTTTTAGATATAGAGCTAGTTAATATTAACTTTCAAGTATACTTCGTAGGTTATCCATGAGCCCTTCTCGATGGAATTCATATGCAATATTAATGCCTACTGTAGCATAATTTGTTTGCATAGCTCAAAAGGCGGCACGCGGCCCTTGTCTCAAAGACGCGCGCGCCGCCCAGGACCATAGCCTTGCATTTATTGTTTTTAGAATAATTATAGCTAGCTTCTATAGAGCACTTATTCGTACTTAATCGATGGACTTACCAATATTAGTGTTTAGTATTATTTTCTTAAGTATTATATTTTTCATTCTTAGCAGCAGACATCGTTTTGTATTATGTCTAGTCACTGTTACTTCGGCGTATTTAGCTGCTCACACGTGATATTTGTATAAGGACCTATGATAATATTAAATCGAATTTAATCTATAGTGTTGCAAGGAATGTGGACCAATCGATAGACTAATGACTTGAAACTAAAAATATCGAAAATGCGTTCAATCATATCAACGCTCAAATTAAGCCGTACTTATTACAGCAGCAGAGTATCTTAATATTAGTATCTGTTCTTAATCTACTGATACTATCGATATTGTTGTTATTGTTTAAGATCGATTGTCGATATTTTCGCAACACTAGCTTATTATGTTTAAGCAGCTAGATGCGCCGTCGTCATATATTTTGCCATGAATTATAGGTGCAGCAGAATAAATCTAATATTTATATAAATCAAATCATCTCTACATCTTACTTATCGTCCTTTTTGACATTGTTATGTTTAGCTTTATTTAACTATTCTACTTAACATATTTTTGACATCTTGAAATTAATTTACACTATATTTATTTCAGAAGTTGTTAATTGTTAAATGTTTAACTGACTATGTGAACGGTTTAGAAAAAATGCATATTTATCTAATTGTGCCTGGAATTTGGGATAATATTTTTAATTGGTTAGTAGCGAAGGGCGCTTAATTTACTTGTTTTGCTTCAGTCAACTAATCCGATAAGCATTGACATCTTTACCATCTTTATATATGTGGACCAACGCTACCTTCTAACTTGCCAAATGAATTTGACACCAATGTGTGACGTAATAATGGTGATAATGATCTCAGGTTGATTACTTTAGAAAGGTAAAAAAAAACCGATTGTACGTCTAATGCATTTTCCTCTGGTGAAGAAATTTTGTATGCATTTTTTCTCTGCCTTCATATTATTGGCAGCAAGGAGTCGCTCGATGTCTGCTGCCCTAAGGTGGTGGTATACAGAGCGATTAACCAAATAATATATCTTCAACTTTAGATCACTTGTTTTGCTTAGCATAGATATTATTTTACATAATATTATATTATAGAGAAACTATTGATTACGATTTTTTATTATTTAAAGATCAAGTTATATGAAATGCCCACTACTTTACTTTGTATTGCAATTTGCAACATGATTTAAAGTTGGACAACTCGTAGCATGTATGTTCCCAATTTTTGAAAGATTCGTTTTAATCTGTAGTTTAAATTAGGTTCAATTACCACTGTTCAGCACGCATATGCATGTACCGTAACTTCCCGTACACAGTTCACTTTTGTTATGGGTGCGGTTTTGATGTGTGCTGACAAGTCGGGTGTGACCTTTAAATCATCAATTCGGCCTCTAATATTGCACAGTTTGATGGTTCACCTTTAGATGTCAATTTATTTTTCAAGGCCACATTTTTGCACCTAAGACGTCAGATTACAAGTCTTTGTCTGAATCTCAAGTAATTATTGAGTTTCAAATTAATACCCTTTATAAAATAGATATGATCGATGAAACCGGGAACATATCATGACATAGCGTTTATTTTCCAAGGCACGCCGTGTTGTCGCAATGACTGATATGAATCATGTATGAGAATAATAAATTATTATATTTAATTTTAGTGTTTTTATTTTTCTTCCATTGCGACTGTACTTTTTCGGCAAATCGGCAGGGAATAAAGCGTACAGCTGTGTGTCGCTCTGGATTTTAGATTACCATCTTTTGAAGACAGCTACAACAATCAGTGTCCGTGCCAGATGATCTTAAAAACTATAAAAAAATGGTTGCACCAATTCTCTGGGCTTGTTCTTTATCATTATTGCAGCTGCAGGTTTTAGGTAAGAAGCAAGTAAGAAGGGAACGGTAATCTGAAACTCAGCACGCTGAATGCTGCGTGCTGATATGGCCAGAATCGCGCATGTATTTTAACGAATACAGTTAAATTTCATACCAAATAAATGGTGGCCGTCAGGATGGCTGGTTGCCTGTGGTATCAGCCACTGAGTGTATATTCAAGACTTGCTACCTTTTCTAAATAATTACAATAACACTTTGTTCAGCATGAAGGGAGCAGATTTTCCAGAAGTATGTATCACCAATAATTGCCACCTATTTGCTACTTTCACGAAATAAAGGTATAAGCTTCTTATCTACATTAGTTAAATAAATATAACCGATTGAAAATAATACGAAGAAGTGCCAACACCACATGTAATGGGTCACAAATACATGTATCCTAAATTGACCTCAGCGCTAATGTTAAAAAAATTTGTTCTCCATCAGAATGAAATTGTAGCTATGTCAAAGCATACCTGCCATATTGACACCATAATTTCGGGTGTCACCATAATTGCGGGTGTATATACATGGTATATACCAATATTTTCCATCCTCTAAGGTATGTACATCAAATTGTTGATGATGTATTTGACCCTCAAAAAAATAATTGAAATGTATTTTTTTAAACGATATTTTTTTAATGTTTGATATTATCAATTGTTCCATCTCTATTAGTTGATCTTTGGATAAATTATAAATGAACTGCACTCAAGGTAACACTATTATTACGTTTAAGCTTACTAAATTAATATTTGGTATTAAAAATAATATGCGATCCTCTTTTTTATCTTTGGTCTTTTCTTTTAATGATTGATAACATTTATAAACACAGATCACATTTATAAGCCGTAGACGGAAACGTAGTTCACTAAGTAGTGTGTGGACGGATCTCCGTCTATGTTTATAACCAATATATCTTTTTATATTGATTAGTTTTAAAAATAAGTATCAAATTTTCATTTGTGTTCGTTCTGAGGCCCAACATAAAG